GCCTTGACGGCACGGGGATCGAGCTTGGATGATTGCGCGGCACGTTGAATGTGCACAAACGCGGTGCAACCAAAGGTTTCGATGTGACCCAAAGATGGGTGTCGTTTAAAGACGACGTGGTAGGGTGAAACACCTTTGTTGGATGCCGAAGGAGAGATGCTGATAAGCCATGAGGCATAATCAAGGGCAAGAGCTCATAGGAACTTGGGCAGAGCCCCTTCAATGAGCATAGCTCGCATCGTTTGGACAACAATGCCGATGCGGCGTTCGGCAGCAGCGTTTTGCTGAGGGGAGTAGTCGTTGGAGAATGCCACCCGTGTGTTGTACTTGGGCTTGATGATGCGCCCGAGTTTCTCGTACTCTTTCGCATTGTCGCTTTGAAGAGTGCCGATGTCCATGGGTGATGAGTGGCGCAGCTCACAAACAACATGATTAAAAAGGGACATGGCGTCCGTACGAAATGTTTGTAGGTCTCATAGAGATCTTTGCGAAACGCATGGGGTAGGTCCACATAAAGCGGGAGTTGTCGTCGATAAATACGACAAAGTAGGCAGCGCCACCCGCCGACACAATTGGGCTTGGGCCCCAAACATCAGAGTGTACAAGGGCTAGGTAGGAGATTGCGCGGAAGACCGCAGATGAGTCAAAAGGACTGCGTTTGGACTTGGCATAAGCACAAGTCTCACATAATTGTCCACGAAGGTGCTTGGCCTTGAAGAGCATAAGCTCAGGATTTGTCTTTGTCATTTGGTTGAAGGTATCAACGTCTGGATGTTCGAGACAGCGGTGCCATAGGCGCGCAAGGTTAGCTGCAGAGAGCTTGGAGTCAGCCACGAGGCTGGTTAGGCAGTCGGTTGGAACAGTAGTGGTGTCATAGACAGGTGTAGGAGTGTGTGAGTCAAGCATAGCCTGGGCTACACTCATCGAGACAGAGTCTGGAGTAATTGGGTAGAACGGTGTTGGCTTGGAGACCATAGATGGTCGTTGAATGATTGGCGCATAGCGCAACACAGTCGAATATGCAAACATGTGCAATTGATCGTTAAAAGTGGAAAATCCACTGTAGGTCGAGGAGAATTTCCGCAGAGCGGTCTCAAAAGTGGCCATCATGCCAGTAAGCATGGCCATTTGGCCCGGATGGATATACTCGCCACGGTGCGGATCGGTTGAGGGATCGCACTTGGGCTGGCAGGGAAAGGAGTATAGACCCATGTCATTGTTAGGTGCTCGAAGCACATCACCAAGAGTGGTGGCAATTTCGCACATGTCGCGAGCCGTAAAACGGACGGAGATGCCCTCATTGGTCGCTTGGCGAACCGAGAACAAGTTGAACTGTAGTTCAGGGCAATGTAAACCAAAAGTTTAGTCACGGGACGACATGTCCACGGCCAAAGAAAGAGGGCCATAGCCAAGGACTGGAAGTTGGGCGCGTTCCCGACTGTAAAAAGAGACAGTGCGCAAGGGACGTAGTTGGAGAAATAATCTCGGTTGGGGGTGCATGAGACAGAGGCGCCAGAGTCAACAATCCAATGTTCACGCAGAGCGGGAAGTGATTTGGACGATAAGTCACCGACATGGGTAGGGGCGGATCACCGGGGTCGCTTTCACAGTAGTGTAGGTCCGCATGAAGGGCAAAAATGCCTTGTCCACCAACAACTTGGAATTGGGGATGGCGACGGACACCGTCCACACATCTTGGGGGTAGTTGGAGAACCACCTTGATCGGTGTTTCCGAGGCGGCTGTGATAATATCACTGCGAGTGGCCGAGAAGGCACTAGGTGGGAACAGTGGAAGATCCACTTTGGTTGGGTTCGCAGGAATTTGGAACAATGGTCGTGGTGGGTAGTGGGGCAAACGTTCGGTAATAAGTACCTCGGCAGAAGGAACTTCAGCGAAGTCTAAATCGCCGGCATCCACAGGAGATGGGTAGTGGTCGGGGAGCTCGCCTGGTGCAGCAGTGATGGGAGCATGGGTAGAAGCCGCAATAAGCGGAGGTTCATGGGGCGGAGATGCAAAAAGATCACAAAGTGGGGCAGAGCCCGGTTGGAACACCTTTGGCAAAACCGATGGTGGATTGGGGCGCTGGAGGACCCGGTTGAGAGTGGAGGGAGGTACAAAGTGGTGGGATAAGATGTGGGTGTTGGCAAAGCCATTGAGGCGATTGCCTTGATGAATAAATGGACGAGCGGCTGTACGAGCAGCAGTGCCATAAATACTCCCACGATGAGTGCGGCCGTTGCCTTGGTCGCGTTGTTCATCACGGCTGCGGTCGCGGTCGCGGTTTTTGTCACGGATGTTGCCACGATTGTTGTTCCACTCGCCATTTCCAGGACCACTAGAAGAAGTTGGTCCCCATTCATGGTGGCTATTAGAGCCCTGGTTGCCACTAGGGCCATCGCGATCATCGCGGTCATCACGAGGACGTTGGATAGAACGAGACGGAGCGACATAATCGCATTTGCGCTTCTTTTGGGAAGCAGAGCCATGTTTGTCAAAGACGGCGCGGTCAGAACCAGGACGCATAGTGTTGCGGGCATAGTCCGACTTGAGGGTGGGGCATGCAGGAAGCGTGTGATTGGTAACGCCGCAGTAGAAACAGGACTTGCCGGGGTGATTGATACAATCACGGTGAGCATAGCTCGGGATAGTGAAAGCGTTCATAACATGAACTGAGCCATCGGCTTGCGTAATCGCTTGGGGTGGTGGTGCAGGGGCCGCAACGGCATGCGTGACAGCTGCAAGCTAGGTTCGCGTTTGAAGGGTAGCGGTAGAGCCGTTGTCACCCAGAGCAGACGCTCGTTGGAGACGATTGGTAATAATACCCAAACGTCAGCAACGACAACGGCTTGGTTGGTGGCGCGCGCGGTGGCTACTTCCCACAATTCCTTGTCACCAATAAAGGTGTTGGACATCGCACACAGAGTGTAGTAATTTCAGATATGGTTGAGGTAGTCAACGGACGAGATCGCCGATGGATCGAGAGGATTGAACGACGGCGGCGTCTTAGACACCCGGTAGCGTTTGACAAGGTCAATAAGCTCCACGGATAGAGTGTCGATACAACTCTCATCAGTGAACTTGAAAATGCGCAGATAGCTGGCAATGACCGTGGGGTTGTTGTCCATGGGGTTCGACTCGAAACGAGTCTTGATGTGCTCAAAGAGCTCGAATGGACACGTAGTGGCCTGATAGAGGCGCCAGTGGTTGGTAGGAATGGCGGAGACCAAGAAGGTGTGCGCCGCAGAGCGTTGATTCGCCCGTTTCTTGGTCGCCTCACAGGCAATGACCTCACGTTGGATGGCAGTGGTGTGCGCCTTGATTTCCACGAGACGCGCATCATGATCGGTCTGCAAGAGAGTCGGGTCGACGACTTAGAGCTCAGAGTGCTGAACTTGATCAAGTTCAAGATACATCTTGCTAATGTTGAGCGCATTAATGCGGTTCCCTTGAGGGACATAGTCCTGGGTGGATTAGAACTCTGCAAGGTCGCGGGACGTTTGCTTGGAACAAGAAGTCTGTTTTCCATAGCGTGTAGGCCAGAGGCCGTAGGTCGTCGAGTGGAGTGCCCACGAAGGGATGAACAGAGGAAGGGAGGAGGCTCATAACCTGTCAAGTGGGACGATGTAGGGGGTAGCACTGAGAAGGGACGACGACGAGAACACTTGTGTGGTCGAGGGCAAAACCAAAGATGATCATTAACGGACTGTTTAGCTGACCTATGATTGGGCATAAACAGTACACCGGATAATTCCGGAGTACTATGACCGGATATTATCCGTAAGTGACCGAACCTCGGCGAAAAAAAGCCCAACCCAAAGTGCCCCTTCTTGACAAAATCACTGGTAACGTTACTGTATATTTGTCTCATGAAAACTGTGCCACTGTTGTTTTTCTCAGAAAACACTACAATCTGAGTGGATACATGGAACTTTGTAAACTCAGACCACTTCAGCACTTCCTAGGATGGAGCATCGTATGTACTGATCGGGGGTCCCAGGTGACAGGGCTACGGGGGGGAAAGTGTATTCGGATGGGATGACTCCCTCATTGAAACAGTATTTCGGGTAAATGTTACTCCGGAGTAGTATAAAACAACGACTAATTCCCCCACAGCAGGTACTGTACTAATATACCCTACCTTAAAAACATCCAAACTATACCTTTAATGGGGGAATTCTGAGATACCAATCAGGACGCCTGAACTGAGGATTTATTGCACAAATAAGTACAGTGATGTAATTGTACAGTAGCACCACCAGCGCATGTCAGCTACCGGTACGGTAGGGGTTAAGGCATCTCAGTGGTTAGTGATAGCTAACTGCTGTGATGCGCTTTAAGGTTTTTTTGTATACCGGTATGTGTGAGGAGTCTTATCTAAGAAATTCCCCCACTAAAGGTGTTTTGAAGGTAGGGTATACAGTACATGTACCTGCTGTGGGGGGATTATTCATAAATCAACAGTTTAAACGAGGGGATTACAGTACTGTATTCTGTAAAGTTATCTTTGTCCGTCGCAAATCATTGACATCCAAATGCGGCCTTCTGCATATGACATCTGAAAGGGCAAATATTCGCACTCATTGTGGAGCAAAGTCAGACCACCGGGGCTCGAGTATGCAATGTGTCACGCTTTGTCGGCATATTCGTGCCCCAGCGTAGCCATCCAGTCAGCCAAGGACAATACTTGAGGTGTACTATTAATAGTACTAGTACTTGTATTCAATACTAATACCATACTAGTACTCCGGAGTACTTACTGTTAGTATGTTTGACAACAACATGGGATTTGTTGCGGTAGGGTCTTTTTGGCGCAACAACTTGAGAAAAAGGGCATCGGATCTGGTTTGCCCATTACTACTTGATTTTCATGAGGAATACTAGTAAATCAGATCTGGTTTGCCCATTACTACTTGATTTTCATGAGGAATAAATCAGTACAGTAGTGAATTACCATGTTTTGTTCCCTACCTTCCCTGGCCCCAGCCACGTTCAATGGTTTGCCCGCTCTCAAAGTTGAATTTCGATCCCTCCAAACACAAGACGATGTTCACCCGCTTCGCCCTTGTCGCCGCCGCGCTCGCCATCGCGTCCGCGAAAATCTCGCCCAAATTGTCGCGTGAAATTGAAACCAAGGGTACACTGCCGTCAGTGGTGATCGTCGAGTTTGATCCCGTCACCGACGAAGTGCTCAGCAAAGCGGACTCCCGCATTGAGTCTGTGACCACCCGCAGCGAAAAGATCCTAACGGTCTTGGAGACGTTGGTCGAAAACGCCAACCGCCACCAAAGCGGAGCGTTGGAAATCATTGCCCAAGCTCAAGCCAAGAGGGAATTGACCGACGATTTCTCGGCGAAGACGCTCGCGATTGCCAACATCTTGGTCCTGACCAACCCCAGCCCGTCGCTGCTCGAGAGCCTGGCCACGGATGCCAACGTCAAGGTCATCCGCCCTCAACATTACGGCAAGCTGGCTCTCCCTGAATCCGTCGAGGATGTAGCCGCCCCTACCGCGGTCGAATGGGGCGTGGTCAAGATCGCCGCCCCTTCGCTTTGGGAGAAGGGCTTTACCGGCAAGGGTATCGTCGTGGGTGGTATCGACTCGGGCGTCCACTACACGCACGAAGCGCTGAAGGACAACTGGCGCTCTGAGAACGGGTACTTCCAACCCGTGGGCAATTCTCAATTCCCCGTCGATGGCCACGGCCACGGCACCCACACCATGGGAACGTCCGTCGGCGCCGGTGGTATCGGCGTAGCGCCGGACGCCAAGTGGATCGCTTGTGAAGGCTGTTTGCCTAACACCAAGTGCCCCGAAGTTGCAGTCGTCGCATGCGCACAATACATGCTGTGCCCCCACGACTACCAAGGCAAGAACCCCAAGTGCGAGCTGGCGCCCCACGTGATCAACAACTCGTGGGCTGATGATCATGAAATCCCCGACGTGCCGTACTACAAGGGTCCGGTGGCTGCGTGGCGCAAGGCGGGAATCATCCCCGTGTTCGCCAACGCCAACTCTGGCCCCAAGTGCGGCACCGTCTTGAGTCCGGGGGACTACCCTAACGTCATTGGCGTGGGTGCCACCACCTCCACGGACAACTTGGCCCAGTTTTCCAGCCGAGGCCCTGGCCCCAATAATGTGAGGAAGCCTGATGTGTCGGCCCCTGGTCAACGAGTGCGCTCGTCCACGAACTTGAACAACTCGAGCTACGCTTCAGTGTCGGGTACTTCCATGGCCACCCCTCATGTCACCGGTGCCATCGCTCTCTTGATCCAAGCCCAGCCTGGCATCACGTACGATGAAATCTACGCTGCACTTACCAAAACCGCTGAAACTTCGACGTTGACCCCAAACAACCAAACGTGCGGAGGCCTCGACGACAGCAAGTACCCCAACAACAACTACGGGTACGGTCGTATCAACGTCCTCAAGGCTGCGTCGTCTGCTCCTTCCCCTTCCACCCCAGCTCCTACCACCACCAAGCCTGCCTGTTAAAAGTGTTTATCCATGTCTATAGTAGTCGTAGTAAGTACTATTAATACTATTAATAGTAGTAGTACACCTTTTTGCGTTTCAGCCTTTTTTTTCACTATATTTCGCTATTCAACCAATCAGAACTCCAACGTGATTCACAGTCAATATTGAATCACGCTGGAGTTCTGGTTGGTTGAATATATTTGTCCTTTCCGTACGAGCCAATCAAATCCACTTAAAATTGGATGGAAAACTGTACTTCGAAGTCGTACTTCTTTTTTGGTATTGGGAATGCTGCTTTGATAATTCCAATACAATAGGCGGTGTATTATTTTCGTACCACAGGGTCGTTTTTTCCGTCGTTCTCTGTACTTTTACAACCGGACGACGTGCACATTTGTGATGCCTTGCAACGCCCGCAACTTGGCCACAATGTCGTCGGCGGGGTCGGAATCCAGCGCTAGCATGCCCAGGGCTTGGGGTTTATCCGGTTGCCGAGCGAGTCCCAAGCTGGCAATGTTGATTTGGCTCTTAGCGAGCTGGTCGAGCACGCCCGTGATGGCCCCTGGTCGGTCTTCGTTGTTGAAGAACAGCATCGTGCCGTGTGGTTTGAACGCGGGAAAGTCATTGTATTCACCGACTTGGACGATTCGCGGCTCCTCTCCAAAAACACTGCCCATGACGACGGATTTCTCGCCACTTTGGAGCTCCACTTGCACTTGGATGGCGTTGTTAAGGTGCTGGATGATGTCTTCGTCCAGGTCGTCCGTGAGGCGGACGTCAATGCCTTGACTCATCCCGGCCACACTCGCGTTTAAGAGAGTCAGTGACGTCGCTGCTGCATTTCCCCCCGAACGCTGCTGCTGCTGCTGTAGCAACCCCTTCATGACGGCGTTTTGAATGGCGGACCGCGCTTTCGGCGCCGTAATGTCAATATCCCGCCCTCCCTTCGTCGTGATTGTCACGTGGGCAATGGCGGCGGGGGTCGGCAAGATCTCGACGAGGAATCGACCGAGAGATTCGCCCAACGCAAGAAATGGCTTCATCTCGGGTACCAGTGTCAGCGGCATGAACACGCCGTTCACAATCCCAACAAACGCGCGGTGGTCCAGCGTGGCACACATGTTTTCAGCAATCATCTTGTACAGTCGGGCGGGGAGATTGGCTTTGGTCGAGTTGGACGTCGCCGGGAGGACCGACGGATGGGCCACGATGGCGGCGGACCACGCGCTCGGCGTCGACAGATCGACGGCGACCCCGGCAATCTGCCCCGACGCGAGCGCTGGAAGAAGAATGGCCTCGTCGATCACCCCTTCCATGCCACCGACCGACACCAACGTCACGCCGGGTTTGCATTGAGCTAGCGCGGCGCCGTCAAACATGTTGCGGGTCAGGCCGGTAAGCGGGACGTGGAACGTCAACACGTCCGCTTTGCCGTACAGCTCCGTGAGACTGGCGCACTTGGTCACCCCCACACTCGCTGCATTCTCGGTCGAAATGGTGGGATCATACGCGTACACGTGCATCCCCATCGCGCTGGCGAGTTCGCCCACGAGTTGGCCGGTTTCGTTGAGCCCGACAATACCCATCGCCTTGCCTAAACAAAAGATGATGATTACGCATCGAGGAAGGGAGTGGTTGGCTTTGGTCCAGGGTTTGACCTTGCAATTCGTGACCCAAAAAGCCGTCGCGTCCGCCGTCGCCCCGCTTGGTCGCCGCCATGGCCTGCGGAATCTTGCGCGCCACGTGGAGAAGCAGGCTCAACACCATCTCGGCCTCCACGGCGGCCGTGCCCGCGAGTTTCTTGCCGATGTTTTGCACCATGACACCGCGATTCGTCGCCGCCAATAGGTTCACATGCCCTGTTTGGGAGCCAGGGATACCAATAAGCTTCAACCGCGTGGCATGCGTCAAGATCTCGTGCATTGGGAGCTTTGTGTGGTCATCTGTGAGCAAAGCGTCGTACTGCGCCAGAGACGGACCAAATGTTGACAACGACCCGAGCACGTCGTGACTGGATGCTTCGTCAACAGTGAACCCATGCTGAAGGAACTCATCGATACACACCAAATTGCCTACATTCAGGCACAGAACCCGCTTCCCGTTGTCAGAGAAGGACGGTTTGTGGGTGGTCACCGCCACAGCTGACGAGATGCCGCGGCGATGTGACGCCACAGACCCACGAAGCGCTCGATGCCACATCAGGTTTGGATTTGGACTCTGGTATGAAGTTTTCACAGAAATATCTTGGGGTTTGTCCGGATAACGCTACAGTATTTACTGTTAACACTTTGGGGCCAAATATAGTGTACAGTACTAGTAATACTAGGTAGG